CAGCGCCCTCAGCATCCCCCTTCCCGCGCCCATGTGTGTGTGTGTGTGTGTGTGTGTGTGTGTGTGTGTGTGTGTGTGTGTGTGTGTGTGTGTGTGTGTGTGTGTGTGTGTGTGTGTGTGTTTAGGTGTGTGTGTGGTACAGTGTGTGCGTAGATGCAGCGGACAGAAAGCACAGGCTGAGATTGTATATATTTCCGCATTTTAACAGTGCAACTCAAAAGTATAAATATAGTATAATAATATGGCAATTCGCCTTTATTAATAGCATACATTTAGAAAAAAATATATATAGGAAAAATATTTTTTTTGAAAAAAAAATAAAACGAATATCCGAATAATGAAATTGAAACCCGAATAGTTGGCCAACGAACGAATATTCGAATAGTAGAATATTCGGGTACAGCCCTATATAACCCCTCACAACGCGATCTGGGGACTCTTTTTTTCTTGCTGCCTTTGACGTACTGATCCTTGACGTCTGTCAGGGCTTCATTACCATTCCTCACATCATCCATGATACATTTTCCGCATTGTAAAGTAGTATACTTGTACATCATCCACATCAAAACAGACGTGCAAGGTAGGGTACTACATGATTCAATAGTGACGAATGCTGGTGAATGGACAAATCAAAAGCAAATCCTCTCAAATATACGTCTCTAACTCTGGACTCTACATAACTTTATTGAAAGCAAAGCAAGACATTCATTATCCTTAGTTTACTTTTGTTTTGGATGATTTGTTATGGGTTTTATGAAGAGAGCACCACTTACATTCAATGGCTGTTAGAATGTGTAATCAAAGACTACAGACTTTCATTGGACAATCAGAGCAAACTATCCACTCAGATTCTTTATGACACCAACACAGCAGGGAGAGAGACTGTCTGGGAGATAAAGAGAGCGAGAGCGAGCTGGAGAGAAACGCCCGAGTCAGACCCTCCTAAACGTGACCAGACTAGAGATGTTGTGGTGAATTACCGGTAAAGCTGCAGAGCAAAACACTTCTTAACTCCAGCAGTATGTGTTGTGAGAATCAGGCCACAGCATAAGAAAAAAAATGTATTCAACATTCACACAGAGAATATACACCCACTCAAGCATCACACAGTGGACATTTAAAACCACATCTGTGCAAAGTGGCCCTGCATACGCTGCCAATATTCTGTTGTCCTCTGGTGAAAGGAATTGCCTTAGTGCAGTGAATTATGTTTAAGTAGGGAACTTAGGGAACCAAAGGTGGGCAACTTCATATTGTTGTGCTGCCAGGCGAACAATGGTTAGAGCACAATCACTCACTTCCGTACACACTGACTATAATTATAAGTGGAGTACATATAACTGTCAATAAATTGGCATCTACGACGCTGAGGAGGAGACCCAGTAGGAGAGAGTGTGGGACAATAGTGTTACCCCATAGTAGCACACATTTAAAAAGAAGTGTAAATATTCACACTCCCGTGTTTGACTACGTACACATCGATGCACATTAATCGGCAGATTGATCACCTTAAGTTAAATATAACTTCATCTAAACTGAATTCAAACTTAAATCTCTTGAGTGTTGATGAAAAAACCACCTCTTTGAAAACACAAAAGCAAAAGTTGAGGCATATATCTCCCCAAAAAAGAAACATACTGTTATTGCTGTAACTCCCATTGGAAACAGCCCCTGGACTTAAACAAGATGTTCCTAAGAGCATTCGCTGACTCTCAGGTAGGTCAACCTAACAGCCAATCAATATATATCTAGCGGTCCGTACTCTCCAACAAATACCTCTTTCTGCCTCACTCACACGCACATATGTGACCTGCTCTATCGAAATCAGTCGCATTGACCCGAAGACACATTTTGAGTTGCATACACTGCTGGAAAGAGGATATTCCTAGCTTTCTAATGATATAAGGATTGTTTTTGTACTCCAAATATTAAGCGAAATATGTCACATTATATAATGACTGTCACCGAGTCATCATTTTGAGAAAAAGGCCTTCAAAGTTTTCTCTTCTCTGGAATCCATCGATCTGATTGATTATTAGCGGAGCAAATGATCAAAATACTACGGAGGGAAGATATTTTCGTTTGGATTGCTGGTCTGGGAGAAGCTCGCGAGTGTGTGTGTGTGTGTATACGTGTGTGTGTGTTTGTGTAATTTTGCGTTTGTGTGTATTGCGTTTGTTTCCCGGGGGAAACCCTCACGAGAAACACCGGCTGTTGTTATGCCTGCTGTGACGTTAAGTTACTCCGTTCTCCGCTTGTAATTATGCCGTTACAAGCTTCAAAGTTGTATTTATCATCTGAATTTGCCGAAACAAGTTTAATATTCTGAAAGCGAAGACTTTTTTTTTAATTGAAATCAGATGAAAACAAACTGTAACGGACCCTGCCGTGTTATTTATGATTACTCTACGCTTACATTCATAATGTCAGCCGGAGGGAGGGGGAGCGGCGCTGCGGAAGGAGAGCAGATTGCCTGTCATCTTCCCTTTACAAGCTTAAAGAATGTATTTATCGTGTGAGTTTGGAAATAAAAGTTTCATATTCTGAAAGCCAAGACTTTGTTTGTTTAAAATCAAACAAAACACCCGAACCCCGAAAAAATAGCAAATCCACGTTTATTTTGAAATGAGCCGTTGCGACTTCCGACTGATTTCGATAGAGCGGGTCACATATGCGTTCCCTTCATAGGTTGGGACAAGCTGACGTATTTCAGCACTGCAGGAATAATCCATATCCTCTCTTAAAGTCAGTGTCCTCAATTCCATTGGGTATAGGGTTAACAAAAAGAGAGAACAAAGGATGGAAGTCTACCTAGTGGGATCAAAATCCCTTTGGCTCTCAGATCTCCTAGCAGAAATAAGTAGGTTGCATTTACGCAGGGAGCTTTGTATTGGCAGTGAAGACTTGCATGAAAAGCAAAACAAAAGATAACCCCGATGGGAAAAAGAGTTTGCTAAATTCACCGGAATGGAAAAGGAAGACATAACTTTTGTCTGCTAACAGTTTCTCTAAAATTGTGACATTATGGAACTGTGATGAAGCAATTTACCCACCCAAAACATTTCTTTTTTTGTAGAACCAAGTGAGTATTGGCAATATTCAAAGTGCTTCCGAATCAAGATTCAGGCACTTTAGACTCTCTATTTACAGTATCTAAGGTGTTGCGAGAGATGCTTTCAACATCTCAAGAGAGCACTACTGGAAGATGAAAATGTATTACAGTCCTTTGCAAAACTACAAGTCAAATAGCTGTGAGTTCCACTTAGTAGCAAGTGCGCGAATGAGCATCTGGCAATTGGCGAGCGTCAGGCGTTATTTACATTGCCTCAAAGTGGATGGTGATGGGGAAGAAAAATCAATGTGGATGCAAACAGTGTAATGGCAGAGTAATGTGTTCCCCTGGGCAAGCAACCCAGAAGAAATCCTGTCAGGGTAATGCTGAGTGGAGGTGGAATTCAGTTGGTGTCTTTTAACCAACCCATTCCGCTGCCACATTCAATGCACATGCACATCTCGGCTCCTGAAGTCAGTTTTCAAGGCTGTCTTCTCTCGCTGCCTCCTCAGAATGCCAACTCTGCAGAGCCGCCAATCAAAGCAGTTGGATGGTACGGTAAACAAGAATATAAGTGGGCAGGATCACATATGCAAAAGGGTGATGCTCTTGATGGTGATTGATGTTGTTTATTATGGGTCATTGTCTTCCTCTCAAAACACCGACACACACGCACGCACGCACGCACGCACGCACGCACGCACGCACGCACACACACACACACACACACACACACACACACACACACACACACACACACACACACACACACACACACACACACACACTCAAACAACAGGAGAACAGGGAGCTTGAAAGCTTGACCTGTTT